GGGGGAGGGAAGGGCCGGACCACGGCCGGACCATGATACGGCCGACGGGCCGGCTTGTGCTGCCGGCTGCTGGCTCGGCCCGGCCCGGCCCTTGCAGTGCTCCACGGGTCACAACAGATTCCAAGCCCCTCCGCCCCTCCTCCGCCCACCTCGGTACACGCGGCATTCAGGCCCCACAGGGCTCACAGGGCCCAGAGCAGAGCATTGTTCTCCTTCCAAGGGCACAACACGGCAGCCATCTCCCCACTTGCCCGCGGCTCCCAACTACTACTTTCAATTGCTTTCTATTTCGCACACCGTTCGTTCGGGACGTATGTGTCGATGCGGGGAGTCAACGTCGTTTCTCTGCGGGTCATTCCCCGCTGGGGAGCCCTCGGGTGAGCCCTCCTTTTGTCGGGTCCGGGGCCGCATCACTCACCTCGCTCCTCGGGCGTGAGCCCCGCCAGCATCTGGTAGAAAATGTGGTAGTTCCGTTCGTTGTGCGCGGGTCGGATGACCCGAGTCTGGTCCAGGAAGTAGCAGTGGATCTTTGTGCGGTAAAGGGCGCCGTCCGTGACCTGCACCTCGATGAAGTGGCCCTGGAAGCAGACGGGGTGGTCAGCCCTGGGCGGCCTGGGGCGGCTGCAGCGTGCCGGGCTGGGTTACACTGTGACACTTACAATCCTACTGGACTCGGAGTTGGAGGCGGTTTTGGCGCTGCCGAGGGCGCGCAGCACGGTGAAGGCGGCCGCGAGGTGCTTGAAGGCGTCTGTCTCGGGGCCGCCGCCAGCCACGTCGAACAGCTGGCGCAGCAGCAGCATCGCCGCGTATGTCTTACCGGAGCCGCTGCAGCCTGCAGACAAGCATCGATCACATACACATACAGGACCACGAGTACCACGATCGTGCCATCGGCGAGGCCATCGGCGAGGCCATCTCCCTCCTCGCACCCTTGCGACTAGCTTACCTGAGAGGATCATGGCCTGCGGGTAGCCCGTCTCGGCCTGCTGCCTGACAGCGTCCTGCACCACCCTCAGGAGCTGCGGCGCCAGGGGCACCTCCCGGGTGGAGCTGAGCGTCAGGGGGTTGCCGACGTCGTGGTAGGCGTTCATGGACAGGAGGATGGGTCCCACGTTGGTGTGCAGCTGGTTGGCGGCGAACCTCCCGTGGAGGCACTTGAGCACGGCGTCCTCGGTGAGAGGGCCCGGGAGGTGGATGAGGTCGTGCAGATCGGCGTACTGGCTGGGGGTCTGCAGCTGCGCCTGGCTGGGCGGCCGCGACAGCTCGCCCGGCGTGTGGCGGCCAGCGACCAAGTGCGGGGACTGCATATCCTGTTGCAGGGGAACCAGGCCGTCAAGTACAAACATAGGAAAAGCAGCGCCAACTTCCATAGATTGTACTGAACTGTACCGAGTGTGTCTCTGAAAAGTGTTGCGGGATTGCATACTGGATAGGGTAGCAGGGGCCATGGCGCCTTACGGGTAAAGGGAGTATGCAAACCCGCAACACTGGAGCGCATCCACGCGTGCGGGCGTGTTGACTACTCGCTCGGGCCGTAACACACACGCACGCACGCCGCCCACAAGCCGTACAGTACATTGTTTGACATTCTACTAACTGATTCGAGCCAATTGCTTACCTTGTGCTTGGCGCTGGCCTGCTTCGGGGTGTGGGGCGGAGTGGGCGTAAGTTGCTGGGGAAGTGGTGACTGCGGAGGTGGCGCTGACGGCGGTGGGGGAGGTGGTGGCGGCGCATGCTGCTGCTGCAGTTGCAGCGGAGTCGGCGGCAGCGGCTGGTGGATGATGTGGCCGGGGTGCAGGATACCTACGCCCTTCTCTGAGGGGACAACCGAAAAGGGATTGCTGTCATTGAACATCCAAAGAAGAAGCCTGTCGCTGCTCTATGAAGCACTCGAGTAGGACTCACCTGGGCTGGGCATGGGCTTGGGGGCCACGGGCGGGGCCTGGTTCTGCCCTCCATGATGAGGCCCGAGCCCCTGGCCGTGGCCCTGGCCCTGGCCGCCCGGGGGGCCCTGTGGCCCCTGTCCCCCCGCGGCCCCGCCCTGGACGTGGAGCCGGTTACGCAGCGTCACCAGCTCCGTGCTGAGGCTGCGCAGCCGCTGCTGTAGGTGCACCGCCTCGTTGGAGGAAGACGCATCTGCAACACACAAAAGCGGACACGGCATGAAGGGGTGGGTTCAGGTGCGGCCCACGGCCGGGCATGGCCCGGGCTTCCCCGCGGCCCCGCGGTGCTGTCGTCGTCCCACGGCGCGCCTCGGTTCATAAACGGGTCGTAAGTAGGTAAAGGGCTGTTGGCCCCGGAGCCGGGCGGCGGGCTAGCGTGCGGCCCGCGGCCACAGCGGTGCCAATGGGCCCGCCCCGCCCCGCCAGCAGACATAACATAGCCGAGGTTATTAACAACGGCTGTAAAAGGGCTCCGAGGCGTGGCGAAAGGGGAAGGGCGGCGCAAGACCGGCGGGCCGTGCTGTGCCCGGCTGTGCCGTGCTATGGGCTCGCGAGTGACGTAGAGAGATGGCCGCTCCGCCGCGTGCCGCCCCGCCACGGCGTCCTATCGAGTGGATTCCCACAACACGACACTTCATTTTCTCCGGGCAATATAAACTCGCTGGACTGTTTACACCGCCCCGTCTCTGGACGAGAGGTAAACTAAAAACCTTCCCTGTTATGTTTAATGGCCAAAAGTGCACACGTCGCACTGTGTGTGTGTGCGCCGGCCACTCCTCGTACGTGGCAGCGGTAAGGGCAAGGGGTAGCCGCCGGGGGGGGGGGGGGCAGTCTGCAATAAGGGTAGGCAGCCCCCCGCGCTGCTTATGAACCCGTCCACCAGCCCCGGCTGCCCCGGCGCACCGCGCCCTGCTCGACGCCTGTAAACGACGTGTGCAGTAACTCGACGACTGTCGGTTGTGGAAAATGCAGTAGGATCAGCTTTCGGGCAAATGTGACCAAGTAAAGTGTGCGCACGCGGAGTTTCGCTCCAACCGGTGAGAAGGGAGCCGCCGAGTAGGCCAGGTGTCTGGACGAGTCGACGGGTCGTTCAGCCCGTGGCAGTGGGAGCCGCTGCTGTCGAGAGCCTCTGTCGAGAGCCGGCTGAGGCCCATGAGGCCCGTGAGGCCCGCGAGGCTGCGCGCCCGGGCCGGGCTCCCTTCTTTACCACCTTTAACGGCTCGACAGTTGTAAATCTGTGTCCGACTTTGCACTTGCTAGACGAAGCAGGTTGTGATGGAGAATCACGTGCAAGGAGCACGCTCTCTCCCAGCCTCACCCATAGGGACCATCGTCGAACTATAATCCCCATCCCATCCACGCCACCCCTTTCCCGGTTCAAAGTGAACGTATAGCCTATGATGGAGAGCAAGAAGATGGGGAGCCAATGTGATTACAGCAGGACAAAACAGGGAGGAGGGAGGGCCGACTCACAGTAATTAAGAAGGGGATAGAGGCGGCGGGATAGGAGAAGAAAGACTGATAGATTCAGTGAGCTGGGACCGAAGGGCCGAAGGCAACACCAGTCCCGCCCGGACACGCGCGTGCACCTGTGTGTCGTGTGTGTGTGTGTGTGTGTGTGTCGTGTGTGTGTGTGTGTGTGTGTGTGTGTGTGTGTGGCCACATACATATTCATAGGGCGACGCATAGCTGGAAGCAAACAGGAGCATTTTAAACACAGGGGGCAGATCGTGCGGGGCGCGTACGAAAGATACACTGTTTCGGCCTTTTACTGACTCTTGCCAGTTTCAGCCCCCGACCAGAAGTCGCCGTTTGCCAGCTTCATTTGCGTGGCAGTTCAATAGAAAATATTATTACGTTTAAAGACCCTCGTTCGCGTCGTGTTAACTTTCAATCTGCTCGTAAAGATTTCCATGTTTCTCTCTCTACTCGTCGTTCGCCCGGGAGAGGCCCCTGGGAGTGCGTAGGGAGTGGCCCAATCAGTCATTGTCAACATTTCTCTCCGACGCGTTGCCCCGTTCAGACTCGCTCTGGGCCCCGGAACCCGCAGGCTGCGGCAGACGGGTCGGGCTGTGCGGGCTGACGGCAGAACGCAGGAATCTGGAAAGCGCTGCCACAGTGGGCTTGTGGGAAACTTGCACTTTCGAGCTTTGTCTTTACGAAAGCCAGAAAAGAATGTCGGTTCGGTTCGGCCGTTCACGAGAGGCGGCACTCACTCGATGGGCATCGAAAACAAACTAAACACAAAGTGGAATGGAATGATCATTTGAAGATGGCGGTTCACAAAATATAGAGAGCTCACACCAAATGACCCGGCCAAACAGAAGTGGCCGGCACACCGTCCGGCCATGCACGTGTAGTGTCGAGACATTCCAGTTCCCCTCTCTCTCTCTCTCCATCACCTTGCTCTCTCTCGTTCTCTCTCTCCCTCCTTCTCTCTGGTCCCCCTGTGCCCCGAGGCGCACTGCCCACCCGCCCCTCCTTGCCAGTCAAAGAGGACTGGTTTCTGAGCACTCCTGGACTCTCCTGGTCTTCGTCTGATGCCACCAGAAAGTGTGTTTCTCTCCCCGTCTTTTTCTTTCTTCTCCTCGGACGGGCATCGAGAGGGAGAGAGACAGAGAGAGGAGGCCTGTCCGGCCCATGTGGGTCATTATCATCATTACATGGGCCCGGCCGGGCTCGCTTTTACGTCCTAATTACACCGCCATCAGCCTCATCATCGTCGTCATCATGGTCATCAGCATCATCAGGTGTCATCTATCACTCATCAGCGCAAATCATCACGACTGTGCTGATGAAGCAAAGGTCCGAAAGCTCAAAACACGCCAAAAGAAAAGTGTCCAGCCGGTTGGCACACAGACAGACCCCGCACCGCTTCAGTAATACTGCACCGCTTGCAGGCGTGTGCATACGCTGCCTAATCGCAAGGGGCCATAGGGCGCGGCGCCGTGCGAGAGACGGTCGGCAAGCCCGCCCGCACGGCTGCCTGCGGTACAGTACATCGTATCGTTGAATGTGTATTGTTTGCATTTTCAAATCAAATTATTTTGAGAAGGGTAGAGGCGGGGCACAGCGCACGCGCTGTTTAAAGCGATCTGGGAGTGGATTTACCGCGATCGACAAGAAGCCAATCTCGACGGGTGGAAGTCGGGCGACCGCAGGCTGGCCCGGCCTCCCTAGAGTCCTATATGGGGGAGAGACCCGCGAATGGATACAAAATGGTGGCGCGCGGAGCCCTGTCCTCCCTCTCCCCGCAGCCCCCTCGCCCTGCTCCGGCTCGCCCTCCGCCGCCCCCA